GGAGGAACTTGTCAATGATCTCAAGGCAGCTGGGACCATAGTCACCAAAAAAACAGTTGGTAACACACTACGCCGTGAAGGACTGAAATCCTGCTGTGCCCGCAAGGTCCCCCTGCTCAAGAAAGCACATCTACAGGCCCGTTTGAAGTTTGCCACTGAACATCTGACTGATTCAGAGGAAGACTGGGTGAAAGTGTTGTGGTCAGATGAGACCAAAATTGAGCTCTTTGGCATCAACTCAACACGCCGTGTTTGTCCCCACCGTCAAATATGGAGGTGGAAACATTATGCTTTGGGGGTGTTTTTCTGCCAAGGGGACAGGACAATTGCACCACATCAAAGGGAGGATGGATGGGGCCATGTACCGTCTAATCTTGGGTGAGAACCTCCTTCCCTTAGTCAGGGCATTGAAAATGGGTCGTGGTTGCGTATTCCAGCATGACAATGATCCAAAACACACGGCCAAGGCAACAAAGGATTGGCTCAAGAAGAAGCATATTAAGGTCATGGAGTGGCCTAGTCAGTCTCCAGACCTTAATCCCATAGAAAATCTGTGGAGGGAGCTGAAGGTTCCAGTTGCCAAACATCAGCCACGAAACATTAATGACTTGGAGAGAATCTGCAAAGAGGAGTGGGTCAAAATCCCCCGAGATGTGAGCAGACCTTGTGGCCAACTACAAGAAACGTCTGACCTCTGTGATTGCCAGAGACTTGGAGAATCAGTGCTAAGGTGCAAGTGACACTGTTCTGGTGGCACATGGTGCCCAAACTTCTCACAAAGGAACTTTGAACCCTGCAGTGTTATCCCTGTGATAACTAATTTTTCATACAAAGACGAGGCGAGAAATAGACTAAATATTCCTTAGTGACCCCCTATCTGTATTTATAAGCAGTACAACTAATATACCTTTTCTTCTTTTTTGCAATGAACTTTTGTATTGAATATTCATGTGGAAATATTAAAGGCTTTATTTGTCACATATTATATGATGTAACATTATGCATTAGTGAAATGCGGTGTAAGACTGTGCTCACAAGATAGTGAAAATTAAGAATGAGAAAAAGTATATAAATATGACTAGCCTACTATTGCTGCTCTCACCCTGTACAACGACTCTCCTCTGTGGCAGGAGTTGGGACTCCCCTGTTTTTTCTTACAACAGAGACTGCTCACCTGGACTTTTATCTGTTGGTAATCTTTCATATATTATACATATATTTAATGTAATGTAAAGCTGTTTTGATAAACATCTATGGATAATATTGCACTACTAATATCCACTGGACTTGCAGTAGTGTAATGGTCTTATACTTGTATAGCGCCTTTATATGCTTTTACAGCACACTTGTCATTCACCCATTCGCACTCCCAAATTCACACACCGGTGACATCACCGGGATTTAGGAAACGACCCGTTCTCCTGAGCCACAGCCGCCCCCGAGTGTAGTGTGTATATTTGAAATAATTATATTATCTTTGACTGAATAAGCCCAAAACGTTCAAAAAGACATAGACCAATTCAGCATTTTAAAATTCAAATTAAAATCACACACTTTCCTTGAATTTAACAAAAGGTTAATGAAATAATAGGTGAGAAGGGACAAAAGTTTTGGATCCGCCTGGCTGTAGCCACGATTGCCGGCTTTTCTTACCACTAAACAAAGTGTTTTAGCAATCAAACCGCATTCTTTACCAAACTTAAACGAAGACATATCCATTTGCTCCGACCTTCAGACAGCTCGTGTGGTCAGGTGGCTCCCGAGGTTTGTCGGTGGCGTGTTTCCTCTCGGTGGGGGAGTAAGAAGCGCGCATGCGCGAAGGTGTTTAATCTTTCTACCGAGTTAGCACGCAACACTTTTGACAACAAAGTTTTAACAAAGATGCTTTGAATATAATATTTTACGTATCTCTTGTAAATTCTTTTTCACCTGCTTCAGAAAGTTGCTTTTGGTTTATATTTGGGTCAAAGAGCAGTTGGTAAAACTAGTTCCGCGTTGCTTTCACTCTGTAGCCGCGACAAGTGTAAGAAGTAATCAGGGTACAGCGAGGCACAGGGAAAACACGTCTGTGTTTTGGATACATTTACATACAGTTTAACCAGGTACTACTAAAGGTGAGTATCCTTTGTACACCATAATATTTAGGTGTTTAATCTAGAACGAGTGGGAGTTAATTTACTTTCGTCAACAAAGCCAATACTGCAGCACAGGGACAGTAGCCACCTGTTTCTGGCTCTGACCTACTTTAGCTAGGTTAACTTGGTAGCAGCCAGGGATTGAAGGACCTGGTTTTGGCTGGTCAGTTTAGAAAAGGGAAATGCACAGGGAGACTGTCAAACACACTTGATACACGTTGTTACGTCTAACTTTCCTTTCCTTGTTGTGCCCTACCTGTGCCTGTCTGATGTTAGCCTGTTAGTATGCACCTATTGTTAACATAGTTAACGTTGTAGGGCGGCGGTGTTTAACCAGCAATACCTTACTGGTGACTTATTATGGCCGTGTTGGCTGTCTGTTTAATTGTTTTGTAAATCCTCTAACTTGGTACATTTACGTTTAAGGCGTAGCGGAATGCGCTACAATGATTGAAGGGGAAACTTAAGGTTGGCTTGCAGGGACGCAGCTCGCATTCCGTTGCATACCACACAGCCCGTGTGCGTGTTCCGACAAGCAGCCGGTGCTTTTAGCACTGACTGAGAGCAGTAATACACCCTCGAGCACAACACCGAGAAGACAAAGGGAGCTGCAACTTATTGTATATGTTCTAGATGGGCAGCATTGTAAGCAGGTCAGTCATGTTAATGTTCTGTTTGCACATAGTGAAGTTATTGTTGATGACTCTTCACTTGTCTCAGTCTAAATACATAAAGACTAGTGGCATTAGGGAATATAGCTGTGATACTGGTGGTGATGGGGTGTGTTGCACGGGATTGGCACTGATTTTCAGAGGATTCAAATGACACCCACGGCTTGTAACTGATGTTTTCTGTAGTACATACAGTAACCAGCTGTTTGTCTGGTGTTAAGTTTTACCCCGGAGAAAAAGGTCATCTGTGTGGTCCAATTAGTTGAGAGTTAAACAGTTACATTTAGCACTTTTAAATTACATTCTGTGTAAAATTAGGCGCATATCTTGACTGGATTAGCAGAGGTACTCTGTTTGTTTGAATGTGACATCTCCCACAAGTGAAGTCCTTTGCCCTTGAAGGCGGGTCCCACCATGTTAGTGGGTGGGACATGAGCCAAACTAAAAATTTAAAGTAAATGAAAATACATTTCTCTCTGCCAATGTGGGTAGTAGGACTTGTGTTTTAAGTAGTGATGTGTAGTTTTGATTGGTGGCCTGATACCAGAATCTGGTTGCAAAATGTGCCACAAGAGCAAAGATGGCAGCCCCCATATCTGTGATATTTTGGCATCACATTTGCACAGAGGCCGGAAGTGGTGATGTGTCATCTATTTTTATATACCGTTCTTCGAATAGAACTATATAGAAAACATAGATGTATTTAAATGACGTTGTTTAGGTTTTGAACATTGTGTGTATGTGATGTATGTGCCATTATCAGCTCGATGCTGACAGTGGCTCATTGAGATCCACAGATCTTGCTCCCAAACAAACTCCAGCTTGGGTCTTTATTTAATGATTGCCAAGTCTGCAGAATGAACTGATTGTGCTGCTCTCAGCTTTGCAGTACTTTGTCCCTTTTGTCTGATGAACTGAGAGTTTTTAATGGGCTAATTGGAAGCTTGTAGTGAATAAACAGGAGGGTTTAAAATGTATGAACTACTGTAACCTTGAAGTGCAAACAGCATTTCTATATTTTATTTGGATGACAAGAAATAAGCATATCCAATTAGCATGATATAAATTGACAGAGGCAGTTTGTAAACTTTTTTGTGGCTTCCCAGAGTGCACTTTGATTTACCAGTGGCTTGGTTACTTATGGTTAGGTTATAAAGGCATTGTTTGATACAATATGCACTCATCTGTGAAAACACTGGAAGAAATCTCACAGGTATGAGACTATTGCTGCATTCAAGATAAGGTAAGAGTAAGCAGAATGGTGGGTAAAGTGAATAAAAATGCATTTGAAAATCAAATGATTAGATTAGCCTGGTTGTTGTTTGATGGTGGGTGCTAGGATATTGAGACCACAGAAACATGGAAATCAGTATCCTAAAATATAAATACCTAACCACCTGCTCAGATTATGATGGTCTCTGAATGTATACCCTCATAGACGGCAGTGATTGTAAATCTTTTACAGTGTCGTAGTTTATTTCCTTTATTTACATTATGATGTAAAAATGCAGAGCCTCTTCATTTACAACCTGACAAACATGGACATTTGACATATTACTGTGTATTGGTATTGTTGTACAATGCATTCATACTGAGTTGTTGATCATGATGTGTGTCCTAAATAGTTCAAACATGACTCAAGGTACAGTATTGTGTGTGTGAACAGGTCATAGGCCTCACCTACATAAGAAATATAAAAAAGGTGTTGACCCGTGTGAAAGTCCTGAAATACCTCTCTTAGATCCTGTTACCAAACCTGAAAATCTGGCTGCCATTTTGCTAAGTGTGCTCCATTTTTTACAAGCTTTAATGCTGAGATACCACGTGGGCCTGATAGACAAAGAAATCCTTGGAAACAGTGACTTGAAACCAGACATATGCTAATCTGGAGACCGGGCTGCTGCTTCTCTATAAAATAACCACAGGACTGGGTGTGAACCTCACTGTTTGTACATGTTCACGTGGTGTCCTGAGATCTTCAGCATTACAGTGGGAAAACTGGATCAGCTGCTCTAGTTTGTCGGTTTCTGTGCTCACAAAGCGGTGCACATTAACTCACTCAGTGTTTGCTTTGCTGCCTGCCTGCAGCAGCTAGTTGTTGCCCTTTGGAGCTGCAGCTCGTCCAGGCTCAGTGCACTGGGAGGATATTTGAGAAAGGAATTGGGTTGCAGTGCTCTGAACTTTGTCTAGTGAATTATTTGTGAGTTACGTAAGTGCATATCAACTTCTCTCTCTTTCTGGGCAGGTTGTAAACAATCAATAATAAATAGATTAAGCCTTTTTAAATGGCAAGGAAACAATCAAATAGGGCATCATTGTTAATTAGCTCTGATATAATAGATATTGCACACTTGGTAGTGAATGTTTTGTTCCATGCAGAAAATATTAGCATGCAGTTGTGTTAGATAAGTTTTTTTACTTTGCCAGGAGCTCAGTTTCCTGATTTAAGTCACTTAGGATTTAACTATATTTGATCAGTCTTGAACCTTTGCAAGTCTTGTAGGCACCTCTCTGAATAATTAGCCCCGTACATGTATACGTAGTGATGTGGACAACCTGAGGGTAATATGTAGTGGGAACGTACACACTAGAGAAGTAGATTTTTAAATGATCAGTTGTGTACAGTATGGACATGTAGACCTGCATGCAGCTGTTGAGTGTTCAGTACTGTGTGTACATTTTATCCAAAGACTTGCCAAACCAGTTGGACTGAACCAAAGCTGACCAAGCAGAGGGTTGGCTGCTGTTTAAGAAAGCTTTTACTGCTTGCTTTAAACATTTGGGGCAGACTTGGTTCTGTAGATTGCGTGTCAGGTAATTCACAAATTTCAGTAGCATAACTGAATATTTTTTTTCAGTGGTGATCACTGTGTCTTTCCAAAAGGAATCAGGTAAAACCTTATCTAATCAAAAGTTTTTTTAAGAAGCCCAGCACAGCACCAAGAAGGAAGTTGGTTTTGTGTCCTCCTGTTTTATGTTCATGTCTGGTTGCATACTGTGTTTTACAGGAGCGCGATAATCACTTTGCTGCAAAGTTGTCCCACTGCAACTAGACATCACTGCCAAATTGCAAGAACAGCATTTGTGTGTTGGATCAAAGATTGATGATCTTCAGTAGAAGTAAGTTGGCATAACAAGGCAGCATGTTGGAGCTGAGCACATTAGCCTGTAGTACTGTTGTTTCATCATGATGACATTTTAAAGCTAAGTTCACAGAGAGCCTGTAGAACTACATCAGAACACCAGAAACTCTTGACCTAGACCATGTAATAAGAAGGTCAAATGTGTGCCTGTCAGGCCACGCTCTCCTTTTTCCTCTGCAGTGAACATGTTGTGCAGCCTATTCAGTCACACAGCTTGGGTTCTACCAGTTGTTGATGTTCCAAAGTGCAGCCTCATACTGCCGTTAAGACCCACCCCTGTTAGCATGATGATGTTTTTAACCATTTGCAGGCAGGGCCATCATTTGAATAGTTACAGTGGCGCTCTCATTGAGGGACGACACGTTGTTTTTATTTGTCAGTGTCAGCTGATCCTGATCTTGACACTATGATCAATCCCCTTGCCCAGCTGTTGTTGCCTGGATGTTAAAAAAAAAAGTGAATTTAAAACCAAGTAGTGTGAATGTTATTGCCCAGTGGCACCTGCAGGATTATATTTTATAGAATGCACAAGATTTGCCTACGGCAAATGTTTTTATTAGATGCTTTCACATTAAAGTTTATTTTTCATGTTTTTATGACATACTATGTTTTCTTGGTAGGCTAGTGGTTAAGGCCCGGGTTTGAGTCAGGGTTGCATCAGGAAGGGCATCTGGCGTAAAACACGTGCCAAATGTCAACATGTGAGTCGTCACTGTGACGATTTGCTGTGGCGACCCCTAAACGGGAAAAGCTGAAGTTACTTTCTTTCTTTCTTTCTTTCTTGTTATAACAGCATAGGCTATTTTGTCATCGTAACAACATGGGCTACTGTATTTTCTCATAATGTGCTCCAGCTGCTCTTTGAGAATCACTGATCTGACACACACACAATAATTAGTCCACAAAGTAACACATGAATGCAGCTCATGACTCTGATAAATAAAGAATACCCTGCACATGTCCAGATGACGTTACAGGCATTACTGAGAGCAGGTCACGTCAGTGTGTGGCTGCAAATTACAGTTACTTCTTGACCACTGCTGAAAAATGCAGTTAAAAAAGAACTCTTCATAAATTTTTCATAAAAAAATATAAAAATATATGCACTGTGCATTTTAGCTCATGCCTGCAAATTGTGCGTTATCCATCTTGGAAATCCATGTTTTAGTGCAAGCAAGTGAGGAGGAGAGACGAGACGGAGCGAACGAGCACGGTGATTCTTCTCACTTTGTGCTAATTGAACCTTTTCTCCCTGAAACGAGCTTTTGCAGGGTGGGATGTCCGTAAACGTCGCTTAAGTGTTGTTTAGTCAGCTACAAGCTTTGGCAGTTTCAAGTGAGGTGTTCAGTAAAGCATTGTTAATATTAGGGAGCTGGACTGGAATGGTAACTTTCAGTCTAGTGGGCATGAGGATTAAAAAGCTTTTAAAGTATCAAGTTATTTATTTGTATTAAGTTAGCCTACTGTTGTTCATCTATAAAACTTGTTTTTTTTACATTTGAAATCTTCATGTGCAAAAGTACTAGAACCAATACAACTATAATTAATACATTTTCCCTTCGTGAAGGTTATAATGCTCTATTTTGTTGGTGAAATGGTTTTAGAGGTGTGTTAATTCCCTTTCTCCATTTTAGTGTTGTTAGATTATATTTAGTTAATGTCTGCCAGTCTCCAGCCTGGGTTAGCTCATTCATCTGTGCCATATCCAATGTCACCCAGTTCAGCAGTGTGTTTCACTGATATGTTTATAGTTGTTTTTGAACAACAACGGGGATCTGTGGGACAGACAAATAAGATAATCCAGGGTGGAGACTGACAATTATTAACTGTGAGTAGAGAGAATTCACTGTTGGTATTAGTCTCTGTGTGGGGATGGTTGAGAAGCTGTAGAAAATGACCACCGTTATCCTTTAAAAATGTAATGTAAGTATTTTAATTATTTCATCAAAGTAATGTAACTTATTACTTTTGATTACGTTTCTAAAAAAAGCTTTAAACTGGGTAGTCAAGTCCCACATAAATTTAAACCAGGCAGTGTAATCCTCACAACTGTACACGACACGTATTACTGTCAAACTTTTAGTAAAGGTTCTTCAACATAACTTCAGTTACATAATATATTACTGTTGAAACATGTAGCCTAGTGAATGGGCACCAAGCAAAATGCTGATCTGATTTCAGAAGGAAACACTGTTGAATTTTCAGCACTGAAAATTGTTTGTCCGACTTCTAGCCTTGGGACTGACCGGGCTTTCCCACTATGTGGTTCTCACATCCTCTGACCATTCTTTGCTCTTCTTTCTTTTCTCCATGCTCAGTGTGGTCCACACGACGCAAAGGCTGAGTCAACTTTTTTCCATTTGAACAGTTTGCAAGTGTGATTTCTACAAGCCAGCACCTGTTGGCTGCTACAGGAACATCATATTACCAACCAATCTCTGTATGTGATTTGTCTAAACTAAAGGGCTTCAAACACAATACAGGTGAAAGGGCTGTACAGTATTGTTCGAGTGTGCCTCGGTCTTTAGATTTTGTTCCTGTGGGAAAGAACGTATTCCCATTCTCCTCAACATTCCATCATGACATTTGCTGAGCAGGGTTCAGATTGGATTTTCAGTTGGTTTGAGTTAATTAATCCATTAACAGAGCTTCTGTTCAGCTTCAGTCTGACCCCCACTAGAGGCAGAGAACATCAATTTTATCAGTCACTGATTGATTTACTGAGAAATGATGGAAAACTGGGGTCATTAGTGACTAGACTAACTGATGTGAGACTAACAAGTGAGCAAATTAAAAATCTCTTGTAATTAGACACTGCATTGTGATATAGTATTGAAAATTTGACTTTTTTTTAAAAATGGCAATTCTATTCAGTGATTAATTTGTTTCAGGTGCCTGCTGACTGCTGAGTTCTGGACACTGTGATGGAAAATCCTGGTAAGTAAAACAGCCTTTTTGCTTTTAAAATGCAAGTTAAAATTTGTAGTTTGTCAGGCTGTTGTTTTGGTTTTGTGCTGGATAAACATGTCAGCAAAAAAATCTAAATCTAAACACTTTTCTTCAGACCATATGTCAGGAATTGAAACATTCCATCACCATCTGATCTAGGCTAAAGGTTTTTATTTCAGTGTATGTGCCGACTATAGTGAGACCGATGTTATCTCAGCCATAGTATCATGATGACAGAAAATGGTGAGTCACCAAACACGGTGCGATACTGTGAGGATGTGTGTTAAGGAGCTGGCCCTGGGACACACTGTACTGTTGACACTGCAGCTATTTGATTGGCCCTCGCTGAGAGGACACACCTGTAGGTAGCAGAGCTGCTGGTTTCTCTCACTGCCACGTGCGGCTTTGTGTCAATATCGCCACAAACCTTGATCATCTAACAACCTCAGCGTATCACGAACACACACCCATTGCTCGGAGGATCTTTGTATACAGACTGAACTGTTGTAGTGCATTTGTGACATCTGTGGGAAATACCTGGGATGGCTGTGCAGTCCAAATATAATTGTGAGTAAACCCGCTTTCTGTTGATGAAATGTAGTATGTTGAAGATTTACATTTTAGTTGTATGCTTTTATAGTATTTTTGTTCAGGTCATTTAAACTGTTAGGCCACTTTCATGACTGGCAATATGTTTGTTTTTTTAAGAAGGTCACATCATGAAGGAGACAGTACTGAGAGCAAATTATCAGTTAGTTCATTGAAATTGCAAGATAAGACAGGGCATGGCTCGAAGAGCACTTTATAGACAACTGCGTCATGACAGGAACAGATTGAGCATGCTTGATCTACTCATCCCTGCCTACTGGTCAAACACTAAAAATAAAGACTTCCTCCTTGACTCTATCTTAAAAGCTGATGTGAAGCCGTGGCTATATTTAGTAGCTTTTCATGTTCTTTTATTTTGATGTGTAAGGGCAAAGTCTTCAGGCATGTTGGCTTGTTTCATTACATTGCATGTTTTGATGTCATGATGACATAGTATAATAGTATTTTTATTAGTCATCAAGTTGCTGTTTTTGTTCTCGGTTAAGTGTTTAAAAGCTTGCAGCTTTTTGGAAACAGTGGAAAAAAGATTTAATCGATGAGTCATCAGTTAGAATATGTCATCGGTTGTCGTCCTTGTTCATTTAACAATGATATCAAGGTATGTTGTGCTAATTTCTGTCACGTACCAAAAGAGGGGATGTTGCAATCCACATATTCCAGTGTCGGAGGTTTGCTTCAGTGCTGTAGCATTGATTGGACTGCAGAGGGAGCAACAGTTGTATGGCATTATACGAAGTGAGTGAGCGATGATGTATGGATAGTTTGCTCTTCTGTTGCTTACCCCCCCCCCACTTAAAATAAATATGCAGATGACAAAGAAATTGTTCAAAACAAATATTACTTTATTTTGTTTTGATTTTACCTTCTGGGGAAAAAAGTGCAATGAGGAAAGAAGCCAAAATACAAGATGGCTGGCCCTGCCATTGTAAACAGTGAAAACATAACATAACATAACAATTGCCCCTGGGCAATTATTTCGCCTTTATGGTCGTCGGGAAAGTAAGCTGTTTGGAAGCAGACGCTTCGCCATAAATCTGTTGTTGCGGAGTAAAACGACACTCCTTCCAGCTCCCTAGTGATCCTTTGGCGTGTATTGTTATATAGCTGAGGCAAGGCAACTTCAGAAAAATATTTGCGGCTTGGTAAAACATACCTGGTGTCCAAAACTTTCAGCATGTGATTAAACCCCGGATTTTCCACAGTGTATATATGGGCACCATATCTTTTGTGATATACATCGCGACAGATTCCGTGATCGCTTTCCATCGGGTCCCATTCTTATCATACGGGATACCATTTGTAAATGTTTGTAAGACTGTGGGTTGTTTTTTGGTGGGTGTACTTTGGCTCCCGCTGTCTCGTTCGTTTCGTAGGGCGTGACATCTCTCCTACTCAGCAGCATGCCTCTGTTTGAGGTGCTGCATTAAATTGGTTGTACTGCTACCTTTAGTAGCAACAGACTTTAAACACACTTTGCAGCGGGGTGTTGTTTGTTCTGCGTCTGACATGGCAAAACCGAACCAATAATCCATATTACTGATGACACCGTGCCTTTTTTCTGAACGAGTTCTTCCATGCTCACTGCCATGCTATCTCTATGGCAAACGCGCGGGCGGAGCCTACTTGGAACTACGGGAGCCGAGAGGGGAGTGTCGGCGGATGTTCAAGATAAAACCTATTTTCATTCAAACACACCGATGTAAACTACACATTCGAGTCAATCGATAAAATCGATTTATCGCCCAGCCCTATCTCTATGCAAGAAGGAGCCTGTGCAGCTCCCACACAGTGATTACATGTATCGTAATCACAAAGTGCTCGGACAGAAATCCCTGTTTCTGCTCTGCGTGGGGGAGTTTTTGAGCCTGAAGCCTCCAGACAAGTTTTGGCCTTGTGTCAGCTTAGGTGCTGTGTTTCAGTGTGTTACACAGAGAATTGGAGAGATAGCCTTTGTAAAATTAAAGAGCAGAGGTTTCCAGCAAAGAGTTCTGTAATTTTATTTTACATATTAAAAACATGATTTCTGTTTTTATTTCCAACACAAGTATTAAATATTTATCGTAATAAAAGCTTTCATAGCTACAGTACTAGTTACAGTTATGGCTGTAAAGTAGCCAGTTTAATCAAGTTCTTATCAGTTAGGGAAGTCATTTCATGGTTCAAAAGGACAACCCCTAGAGAGTCACAGAACACCTCTGCTGTGTCACTTCCTCTGCTGTGTTACTGAGCTCCATCTTGGCTGAGCTTACCTTCCACTTCTCAAGTTACCTCACCCTGCAGAGCCCGCCCCTCGCCCTTCAGGGAATAGTATTTTGTCAGTCTGTGAAATCGTGCTAGAGGGGCACCACACCACATTGCAAATCGCTCAAGGCTTGACGGCCAGACTGGTCAAACCTCAGCGCTTCGCCTGCTGCGAACTTTGCCCCCGAAAAATCCACTCTCAGGAATGAAAGGCATCTAAGACTACTGGATTACTTTATTGGTGTACCTTATTTATGAAGTCAGAGCTCTGAGAAAGGAGGGACCTAAGAGCAGAATGACTGAGTGTGTTTGTGTTTTAAAGTGAAAGAAGGAGGGAGAGACCAAAAACACAGGATGAGGGGAGGGGGAGGGTAAGGCAAGAGAGACTGAACGACACAGGTGAGCAGCCAAGACAGTGTGGAGTTACAGGAGCTCTGTGTCTGCTTGGAGAAGAGCGAGGTGACTTTGGGTTTTCCTCTGCTGCCACGGGCCTCAGGAGAGGCAGAGCCTAGTAGGCTGGTGGGGACGGGAGCTGTAGCATGGGACACAGTGCTAGCAGTGAGACAGTGGCCCAGCAACCAGCCCAACAGAACGCGGGTGAGTCTGAGACCAGAGGCTAAAAACTGAGTAGTTGCTGAGTAGTAACATACCTTTGGCTCATTATAGACAGGGGGATATGGCTTGACAGCCATGTTTTCATTTGTGAAAAATGTAAAAAACAAGAGGATGGTATGTATATATGATCAGGTGTTTTAAACCAGAGAGAATCTAGAAGGCAGCAGGCACAGACAGGTGTAGAAAAATGCATGCCAGTGGAATGTGGTGATTGTGAAATGCACGACCCACACAAAAGTCTCTCTGGGTGCACACAGCACTCAGTCTCCCTCTCGAAGTCTTTCTGAAAAACAAGATCTCGGGGTACAAGGCACCAGCTGACACCAACTCTCCCCATGTGCAACTGTGTTGCCAATATTTAAATGACTAACAGTAATAAAGCCCCTGAATCAGTTTAATAACCGCTTTAGGCATGGCCTTCTGTTTAAGTGCTGAGCTGTTCACTTATTATTTGTGGGATCAATATTTTACTGTTGGTGTTTTGCTGAAACTTTTTTCAGCTCTCTTACCTACATAAAACAAATAAGAACATTCTCTTCATTACATATTTGCTTTCTGTGCAAGATGTATTTTTGCCCATAGTGTGCTTTTCTATTATGTGTAGCTGGTGTCAGCATGCCCTGTGATTGGCATGAGTCATATGGACAGCTTGACTAGAGGAGTGCAGGGTATTGCATTCACACCAGCTGGTTAATGCAACATTCATTCTTTTATTAGTCCTTTAAGTTAGATTGGCTGACCATTTTTCAGAAGTTGATGTTGCCAATGTTTTGGCTTTATAAGTGCAGACCTGTAGCCTGTGTGTTAGTGTTAAGTCTGAGCATTCTAAGACTTTTTGGTCTTGACTGTCCTTCACCTCGTCTGTTGCGGGTTTGTGCCTTCACTTGTCTGGTGGTTTTTGAAAAGCAGCCATCTCAGATTGTCATGCTCCGTGGTCACCACATAACACTTCTTTTGCACCAGTGTTCTTCCAATTCACTGCCACCCCCCACTCCTCCCAGTTTAACACCCACTGGTGTCAGGAATAGCTGCGTGGGCCAATTCACTAACCTCTGTGTGCTTGTATTTAAGCATGGGATTTCATGCATATATGCAAAGGCCTGCTTTACTCCACACAGTGTGTTCCTAACATTCTTTGAAGACTGACTTTTCTTGGACATCTTTGGTTGAGTCCCAGATAGCCAGCACTTAAATGTGTGTTTTGGCAAATTATCTGTCCTGGTACTGCATCCATCCAACCATCCATAATCTATGCCACTTTTTCTTGAAGAGGGTTGTGGGGGGGCTGGACCCATTCTCAGCTGACATTGGGCGAGAGGAGGGGTCCACCCTGGACAGGTCGCCAGTCTATCACAGGGCTGACTTGTAGACAAACACCTACGGGCAATTTAGACCCCCTACTGCAGTTAATGATTACTTTCTTTATCAATTAATGTAATTATCAGTTATTTTCTGGATTTAATTAAGTAATTAACTAGATAATTTTGTCTGTTGAAAGTTAAAATGAGGAAAATGCCTCTTAA